CCGCGAGTTAACCCGAGCCAGCGGCCCGGAGCCAGCCGGCGGGCGTCCCGGAGGCGGCGGCGCAGGGAGGGGCCCGACGCGCGCACGTGGCCCCGGCGGCCGCCATGGCGGACAGCGGCCCCGCGGGGGGCGCGGCGTTGGCAGCCCCGGCCCCTGGGCCGGGCAGTGGTGGCCCAGGGCCCCGCGTCTACTTTCAGAGCCCCCCTGGGGCTGCAGGCGAGGGCCCAGGCGGCGCGGACGACGAGGGCCCAGTGAGGCGCCAAGGGAAGGTCACGGTCAAGTACGACCGCAAGGAGCTACGGAAGCGCCTCAACCTGGAGGAGTGGATCTTGGAGCAGCTCACTCGCCTCTACGACTGCCAGGTGTGTCCCTTACTCTGCGCCGACACCCTAAAATCGTTCCCTAGTCGGACTGCTTGGGAACCCCGCCTTGCGCCTGCCTGTCACCCGGAGTCAATGGGCGCTCCGCTTCCGCGCGCTCCCCTCCCTTTCTGTAACTCCCCGCCCCCAGTGTATGCTCTTTCTTGTCTGACCTTAGGTCGCTCCTATCTTTTCCCTCATGACTCCCTCTTGTCACTACTCTGGTCAAGCTTGGGGTTCTCAAGAAGCCTCAAGGGATAGCCTGGGCCATGGGCAGGAGGCAAGAGGCTAGTCTGGGCTGGCGGTGGTAAGGTGATCTACCTAGTGCTTCGTAGCCTAAACTGGTTGAAAGGCGCAAGCCTGGTGGGGTTGTAAAGGGTCTGGGCTGTTCTAATGGGCTAACCTGCAGCTCCATTTTGGTGTAGGGGCAGGCTAGCCTGTCCTCTGGGTTTTGGTTCTCCACCCCATGACTCCTTCCTTGCTCAAATGGTGACTCAGGCCCCTGGGGGGCAGGGTGGAGGAGTGGGCTTGCCCTGTGCTGCCTACCCTAGACCAGCCCTGGAATGCAGCTGGCTCCAGACTGGATAGACGCTTCCTGGGTGGGGGGAGGGGTGGCAGGCACCCCCTCCCTCAGCAAAGTATGGGCTCTTTGTTTCCCCATTACCAGCCCTGGGTCCTTCCCCATGACCCCTCACCCTTTACTTCCTCCCCACTCCTGGGAAGCTGTGACAGGTGTTTGGGGGAGGGGAAGGGGCTGTGATGAGTTGGGACAGATGGCCCCACCTGTGCACTGATTGAGATGGAGCCCGGAAGTTGGGACAACACATCTGCAGGGTTCTCAGCCCAGGGTCCCCAAGCCTTTGCTGTCTGGCCCTGTTTGGCACCCAGGGTGCCCAACTGGCAGGGACAGGAAGCTCCCCCCCGCCATCGGGCATTTTGCCTTGGCACAGGCCTGATCTGTTTTCTTCCTCAGACAGCTGCTGCTGTCTGCTGGGCAAAGAAGCCTGGCTCATTCTGCGGTAAGGCAGGGGCCTCAGCCGGAGCCCCTCTCACACCCTCTCTCCCAACTCAGGCCCTTGTCTCTCCCTCCTCCCCCACCCCCACCCC